ACAAAGCCCTTCCATGCACATGACCTCATCTGAACTTCCCAACAAAGCAGCTGGTATTAGACCCCATATTACAGTTTGCCTGGGTAGGAAACAGAATGTAGTAGATTGGGCCTGGGCATTGGGTAGCCATGTGCCCTTGCTTCACCTCGTTTCCTCAACATATCCTGAACATTAAAATCATATGATATGTAAAGGCACGTGGCATCTAGTGTGGGTCTTAAATAAATGCTGCAGTTACCCCAAATCACCTGATAATTGAATCACAGAGCCTAAACTTGAACCCAGATTGTCCAACCCATAGGTTTACACCTTGAGTCTTATATGTATTCAGCAATGCCACAGTAAGCCCTCTTTTAATATACAGGCTATGATATGTTTAAGGTAGAGTCTGTGTAACCAAGCAGTGGGATTGAACATAGAAATGGCACTGTTTGGATTATCTGGTTATGGTGGAGTCTTAAGAACAAATGGTCCAGTACTGTTAATAACGTCTTCAGTTCTTCTGAATGCATTCATGTGTTCAACACATATGTATTGAGCTTCTACAAGGTGTCAAGCACCATGATCTCTATATTAGTGATTTTTAACATGTTTGGTTGTTACAGACCCTTTTAAGAAAGTAATAGAAAACTATGGTCCCTCTCTTTCTCCCAAGAAGATTTTCCAGCTTTTGGTTTTGATGTGCTGAACCATTTGAAAATAAGTTGTAGTCACCATGACACTTCATCCTTAAATACTGCAGTATGAATTGCGTAGAAATTTGGACTTCTCCTATGTCACTTCAATATCATTATCATATCTAAGAAAATTAATAATGATTTCTTAGTATGATCCAATATCTCATCCATTTTCAGTTTTTCCCCTAATTATCCCAAAATGATTTTTATAGTTGTTTTTTTTTAAACCAGCATCCAGTCAAGTTCACACATTGCATTTGGTTTTCATTTCTTTTTTAAATCAAGAACAATCCTTTATTTTTCATGACATTGACTTTTAAAAAGACCAGACCAGTTGTCTTGTGGAATGTTCCAGGTTCTGGATTTATCTGATTGTTTCCTCATGGTGTGGTTTAGCTCAGCCCTCTGACCTGTATATTTTCTGTAAACTGGAAGTTAGGTCTAAAGGCTTGATTAGATTCATTCAGGTAAAGGATTTTGGCAAGAACACCTTAAAGGCAATGCTATGTAATTTGCATGATGTCACACCAGGAAGCGTATAATGCCAGTTTGTTCCTCTATTAGTGATGCTGGGTTTGGTCACTTGGTCAAGGGATAGGTCACCAGATCTCCCCCTTCTCAAGATACGTTGGTAAGTAATCTGTGGGGTGATACTTTGACACCATGGGAATACCCTGTCCTGCAACACCTTTCTCATAATGGCTTTAACATCTGTTGATGATCCTTGTCTTTTTATGACGGGGATTGCAAAATGGTGATTTTCTAATTCTGTCATCCCTTGTATACTTATGTTAGCTGGTGTCCTTCTGTAATTCCCAATTTTAGTCATCTAATATATGTACAATAATTGTTACATAGTTTCAGGGAGATTAAGGACCCATCAAAGCTCAACAAGGACACCTGCTCCAAGTTATCCAAAAAACCAGTTCCTGTTGTGACTCCTGACAACTGCACGTGTGTCAGAGTAGGACTGTGCATCACAGGATTTTCAGTGGCTGATTTTTTTAAAAGTAGGTCTCCAGGCCTTTCTTCTGAGGTGCCTCTGGTTGGACTTGAACCTCCAACCTTTCGGTTAGCAACCAAGCATGTTAACCATTTGCACCACCCAGGGACTCCCTCTAAGTGATGTTGCTTTTGTGTGCTGTCGAGTCAATCCTGACTCATAACTGCCCTGTAGGATTTCCTAGGCTCTAATCTTTACAGGAGCAGATTGCCAGGTTTTTTCTCTTGTGCCGCTGCTGATAGTTTTGAACCACTGAACTTTCGGTTAGCAGCTGAGCGCTTAACTATTGCATCACCAGGGCTTCTTCCTCTAAGTGATAAAGGTGGCTAATTGTGTCAGCTTTTGTGTGGCAGAAGAGCAGTAGCTGAACTCTTCAAAGTCCTTTTATTTATTTATTTTTTATTGTACTTTAGATGAAGGTTTACAGAGCAAACTAGTCTCTCAGTAAACAATTAATGCTACACATATTGTTTTGTGACATTGGTTGCCAACCCCACAACATGTCAACACTCTCCTCTTCTTGACCTTGGGTTCCCCATTACCAGCTTTTCTGTCCCCTCCTGCCTTCTCGTCCTTGCTCCTGGGCTGGTGTGCCCATTTAGTCTCGTTTTATGGGCCTGTCTAATCTTTGGTTGAAGGGTGAACCTCAGGAGTGACTTTATTACTGAGCTATAATAGTGTCCAGGGGCCATACTCTTGGGGCTTCTCCAGTCTCTGTCAGACCAGTAAGTCTGGTCTTTTTTTGTGAGTTAGAATTTTGTTCTCCATTTTTCTCCAGCTCTGTCCGGGACCCTCTATTGTGATCCCTGTCAAGGCAGTCAGTGGTGGGAGCCAGGCACCGTCTAGCTGTGCATAGTCCTTTTATTTTTCCAGTCAGCTGCGACAGAATTAAATCCCCAGCCCCAAAGATAACACATGCCATCCCCTAACAACAAAAACAAAACAACCTCAGCTTTTAAATTTTCAATCCAGTCGACAAAGTGCCATGATAAAGGGGTCCAAAGCCCACAGAATCACCCAGCACCAGTCTCCTTTCCTCTTTCCAAACACTTTGCAGTATGTTACAGTTGAAAGCGTTCTGGGCCAGGCTTGCTTTCCTCAACAGTAAAAGCAGGAAGTTAGACCTGCATTTTCTAGAATTTCTACCAGCCCTAACATTCTAAGAACTTGATCGTATCTTCTTTTGCCAGTTGAATTCCTTTGTCCCTTTGTTTGAGCTTTGCATGTATGTGTTTCTTCACACTCATTGCATCTCTTAAAGTCACACACATCTAAAGTTGTTGGTGCTTCTGGTTGGAATTTATTATCAGCAGTCCCTGACACTCGTACTGTACTTCCACTTTGTAAAGCACTTTTATGTATTATCGCATTAGAGCCCTTACAGTGTAGGCATTGTATCCCTGTTTTGTTCTTTCTTTGGGTCTTATAGACTGGGGGTTTCATTTCTAGCTCCTAAGTGTCACTACATTGAAATAACTAGAAGGCCACTAAACTCTGTTGTGATGGACTTTGACCACGTGTAATCAGTAATGATATTGCTATTGCCTGTGGTTCCAGTCGCTTCATTCCTACATCGCAGTTACCTTTGTGCCCTGTTGGCTATCTTCCCAGCGACTGCTCCAGTTGATGTCCATGGATCAATGGTAGAGCACATCCCTCAACCCCTTCCTCACCCCATGAGGATCTTGTGTACTTGAACAAGATGTCTGTCATTGTGACTGGTTCTGCCTTACTTCCTCTCTCGCTGCCACTTTGAATCTCCACTCCTGCTCTCTTTGTGGCTTGAATGCTCACTGGATTTGGGAAACAAGGGTCTTGGGTTCTGTCCTAGGTTCCCCTCTGTGTACTGGGCTTAATGCTTTCAACATAATTCTTTCATTTCACACTGTTAGAAACCCTTGAAGTCAAGTATTGCTTTCCCCATTTCATGGATGGATAAACTGAGGCTCAGAGTACTTAAATGACTTCTCAATTGTCACATAGAGTTTTGGCAGGAGGCAGCTGTTGGCACCCACCTACGTTGGGTTGAATGTGCTGAGGCTCAGACATGAACTGGGCCAGTGCTGCTGAGGTAAACCGAGCAACATCCTCTCCCTGCTTAGCCTCCGGGCTCCCTCTAAGGCCCAAGCCCTCATCAGCACTTAGCAGCCACAGCCCCTCAGGGATCCTCCCATCTTGGTTTCCCTTGAGAGCTTAGCTAGAAGGACTGCTGCCCTTGTTAGCAGCAGAGCAACCAGGCCAGCTAGGTAGGGGAGTTACCACTGAGAACAAGTCCAGTGTGGCCAGACTGTGCTCTGCGGGTGGGGTGAGTTTAGGTAGAATCCAACTTCCTAGGAGGTGAATCAAGCCAAAACCACAGCACAGTCCAAGGAAATGCCCATAAAGGGACACACTAGAGCTTGGCCTCCTAATGCTTCGTGAGTGCTGATAAAGAGCCTCAGTGCTCTTGGTCCTCGAAAGAGTCTGTGGACAGTCAGGGTTCCCGTGAATGGTTGTGCAGCTTGTGTACTGCCCAAATGAGGGAGGGCCATGTACATGGTAGACAATGTAGTTTTGTGTATTTGTTATGACGGTTTTCCAGCAAAGGAATCAAGTGTCTTGTTCTAGCAAAATTCGTGCATTAGAACAATGTCTTAGTCAGTCAGTGCTGCTGTAATAGAAATACCACAAGTGGGTGGCTTTGAAGAGCAGAAATTTATTTCCTCACAGTTCAGGAGGCCAGAAGTCCAAATTTGAGGCAGAGCTCTAGCGGAAGGCTCTCTGTCTGCTCTGGGGGAAATCTGTGTCTCTTTCAGTTTCCATTCCTCAGTTCCTTGGAGATTTGGCTTGTTTCTATGCCTAATCTGCTCTTTTTATATCTCAGAAGTGATTAGGTTTAAGACACACTCTGCACTGATGGCCTTATTAACATAACAAAGAAAACTGTGTTCCCAAATGGGATCACATCCATGCATAAAGGGGTTAGGATTCCAACACCTATTTTGGGAGGACACAGTTCAGTCCATAACAGACAATTTCCCAACAGATGGACGGAGAGTCTTGAGGCCGGCATGCTTTCCCAAAGGCGCTGTGTGGGCTGGTGCAGCCCAGCTCTCCACTCTACCAGGGTACCCTCTCTGGGCCTCAGTTTCCTCATCTGTAAAATGAAGAGGTGGACTAGATGACCCATAAGGTCCGTTTTCACTCTGACATTGTGTGAGCCTCATTGGAGTTGATAAGTGTCTATTGATTGGTTGATTGCTGGAGCTGGTGGCCCTGTGCTAGGCTACCACCTCCACCCCTTTTGTCCTTGCTCTTGACTCCGTGCTCTGTTCTCCAAGGAGAAGCCCCTGCCAGTGAACAGAGCAGCGCCTTCTCTGTGCTCAGGGCACCATGGCCACATCAGCCCCACTGCGGAGTCTGGAAGAAGAGGTGACCTGCTCCATCTGCCTTGATTATCTGCGAGACCCTGTGACTATCGACTGTGGCCATGTCTTCTGCCGCAGCTGCACCACTGAAATCCGCCCCGTCTGCCCGCTCTGCAAGAAGCCCTTTAAGAAGGAGAACATCCGCCCAGTGTGGCAGCTGGCCAGCCTGGTGGAGAACATTGAGCGGCTGAAGGTGGACAAGGGCCGACAGCCAGGGGAGGGGGCCCGGGAGCAGCAGGATGCCAAGCTGTGCGAGCGGCACCAGGAGAAGCTGCACTACTACTGTGAGGATGATGGGAAGCTGCTGTGTGTGATGTGCCGGGAGTCCCGGGAGCACCGGCCCCACACGGCCATCCTCATGGAGAAGGCCGCCCAGCCCCACAGGGTAAGCCCTCCTCACCCTGAGGTGCCACCTTCCTTGCGTTATGCCTGCCCTGCAGTCCATCTGAAGGCAGGCCTGGCTAAGACCCCTCGGTAGGCCAAGGACTCGAGCCTGAGTCCACCTTCCTGCCCCAGCCCTGATCATCCACATGTCCCCACTGCTTGTCTTCCCACAGGAAAAAATCCTGAACCACCTGACTACCCTCAGGAGAGATAGAGACAAAATTCAGGGCTTTCAGACGAAGGGAGACTCCGATATCCTAGCCGCGCTGGTAAGTGAGGCTGGTGGAGAAGGCCCTGAGGTGGCGATTTACCGTGGGGAGCTGGGGCATGGGCAAGGAGAGACAGCATGGGGAGAGACTTTAGGAGGACCTCACTGGAGAGGACAAGTGTAGGACTAGAGACCGAGAGGCCTGCGTTTTAACCCACATCCTGCTGGTCTGAGCTGTATGGCCTAGGACCTGTTTTCTCATCTAATAAGTGAGTGGGCTGCCTAGGTGTCAGCTGAGGCCCTTCTCATTCTCCGTGGATCTCACCTCAGCTTCAGGCCCATGTCTGGCAGCTGCTTCTGTTCTACCAGGGAGAGCCAAAGTGTGGGGAAGTGAGGAAGGCCTTGCTTCATTCTTCCTCTCAAAGATGGGGGTGGGGGGAAGACATGATTCCTAAGAGTGGAGAGGAACCAGGGGAGTTGGGAGGAGGGAGCTGCCTTGGAATAAGCACTGAGAGGGGAGAGCTAAGGAAGGCCTGACCAGCTGGGATGACTAGCTCTGTGTCTAGTAAACCCTGGGCCCAGGCCTCTCAGTTGCCTGTAGTTAGAAAACAAAGGCGGCACATTGTACGCTTGATTGGAGATGGGGCAAGAGGGAAGAAACTGATCAGGTGGTTCCAGTTCTCTAGGGGAGTGTCTGTCAGGGACATGGGCAGTGGAGGCCTGCAGTAAGCAGTTAGGCCCTGGGAGTGGGAGATAATAAAGCAAGAGATGGCCAGTGTCCAGAAGCACCCTAGGCCCAGTGTGCATGGAAGCCTCTCAGCCAACATCTGTCAGCAGTGGGGACAGGGGACTCTGGTTAGAGCCCAGCCCGCACTCAGCAGGGAGGCTCAGAGGTAGGAAAGGACATGGCCCCTGACAACAGACATTCTACAGTGTCACCGAAATGCAGGGCAGGGATGGGGTGCACACAGGTATTTTATACATATTATGGGGGTATCCCAAGAGAGGTTTGGTCAGGCTTGGATGGTATGAATCAAGGAAAGCTTCCAGGAAGTAGGGATGTACAGAGATTAGTGTCCAGGGGGGAAAAGTGTCAGCTCACAAGTGAGACCCACAAAGTTCCACAAAGGCCCTGGCACACATTGTTCACCTAGAAGAGTAACTTGGACTTCAGTGGCAAGGAGCTGGGCAGACCTGTCGGGCAGAGTCAGGGTCCAGTCAGACAGTGGCTGAGTGAACTTAACTCGTTCACTTACCATGTCTTCTTTGAGGAGAGGAGGGTGGACCAGCAGTGCTCTAAAGCTCCTCCCAACTTAAACACTACCAGTAACCAATCATTTACTGTCAAGTTGACTTGACTCATGGCAACCTTACGTATGTCAGAGTAGAACTATACTCCATGGGATTTTCAATGGCTGATTTTTTGGAAGGAGATTGTCAGATCTTTCTTCCATGGCACCTCTGGGCAGATTCATGAATGGGGGTAACAACGGGTGATGAGTCAGTCAGCCTTATGTGCTTCTCACGCCGGGTCATGGAGGGATCCTCCATCGAGGCTGAGTCATCACCCCTTGTCTCCTTCCTGCCCCTGTAGCAGAAGCTCCAGGACCAGAAGCAGTGCATCGTGGCCTTGTTTGAGACGAGTCATCAGTTCCTGAGGGAGCGGGAGCAACACCTGCTGGACCAGTTGGCAAAGCTGGAGCAGGAGCTCACGGAGGGCAGGGAGAAGTACAAGGCCAGGGGCATCGGGGAGCTTGCCCGGCTGGCACTGGTCATCTCCGAGCTGGAGGACAAGGCACAGCAGCCAGCTGCAGAGCTCATGCAGGTGAGAGACTCCCCTGGGGCTGGGAACCAGGAGACATAGATGGTATAGAGGAGTTGCTGCCTCTCGGGGCCTTTGTTTTCTCATCTAAACCAAACCCAAAACAAACCCGATGCTGTCGAGTCAATTCTGACTCATAGTGACCCTATATGACAGAGTAGAACTGCCCCGTAGAGTTTCTAAGGCTGCACTCTTTAATGGAAGCAGATTGCCACATCTTTCTCCCTCAGAGCAGCTGGTGGGTTCGAACCACTAACCTTTCGGTTAGCAGCCAAGTGCTTTAACCACTGTGCCACTAGAGCTCCTTTCTCATCTAAACAAGGGGATGGTAGTCACTTACCCTCCCACCTACCCCAGGCATCATATGAGCGTAAAGTGGTATGACTGTTTCGGTGTCACTTTAAAAAGTAAAATTTCTACAATAAAACATTTTAAAAAGTAAAAGTTGCTGTTGAAATAGAAGGGAAGGTTATTATGTCATCATCATCACCCTGCATCCTCATCACTGCCATCACGAGCCCTTCTTCTAACAGGCCATTGGCAGACGCTTCTCAGGCGAAAGCTTTTTATGGTTCTTGAGATGAAAAGTGGTGTCATGGATGGGGTGGTTTAGGGAGGGCTGAACGGTGGCTTCTCTCAAGGGCTGGGAGGGTCTGGAGGAGATGGCAGTTAGGGAAGGGAGACAGAGCGCGCAAGATTTTCTCTGGGATCGTGGAATTACCACCAGAGAAATGAGATGGAGATTAGGCAAGGAACACTTCCTGGAGGAGGTGGCTTTGAAGCCAAGAAAGGGAGAGTCCTGGACTGGGGGACAGGTCGTCAGGTTGAAATGACACCACACCTCCTTCCTACTGGAAGTGCCTGTCTGATTGTCTTCCCCACTTCCATGGTTTGGGGTGGCTAGGCCTGTCTGTCAGCAGGAGAACCACTGGGGTCTCCTCAGGAAAATGCTATCCTGGCCAGCGACAGGGCAGACTGATCCCCGGGAGGGAAGAGATGGCAAGGCAATTTCCCCCAGTGTGTGTACCAGCACAGGGCTTGTGAAGAGGTGGCCCTGGCCTGTGTCTCCACCATGGTGGATACAGGCTCAGAATGAGGGCTGACAAGGATTACAGAACTCTTCCAGCCCAGTTCCCCACTGACCAAGTCACTGAGGTCCAGAGAGCAAGAGTGGCCTGTCCCAGGCCATGGAGTGGGTCAGTAACCAAGTCAGAGCTCAAGCCCAGGGCTCCTGACTCCAGGCCTCAGTGCCCTCGTTCTGTTCCCTTATTTTGTCCAAAATGGTTTTCTGGCCTCCCCTTTTCCACTAGAAGTCTTTCTGTTCCCTCGAATTTCTATGCCAGACTCTTTGACAGGGTCCCCTGATGCTTCTTCCTTTGCCCCTCTTCCTTTTCTCCTTCCACATCAGGTGTGTATCCTTCCTTTCACTGTGGGTGTGTAATTGTGCATGGCACGGAGAGGTACAGGGCTGAGGATACTGGTAGGGCTGAAATCCAGTTGCGCCTTCCCAGAGGCTGCCTTTTCCTAGTCCGCCTGAAGGAGCTGTGTGGGCCAGCAGAGGCCCTGCCTTGCACAGTCTCAGAGAACCCTCAGATGGAAGATGTCCCAGGATAGGGTGGGGAGGAGGAAGGGGGAGAAGGTGGGCACCTGTTTAAAACCAGCACATAAAATGTCGTTGATACTAGTGTGGCTTTATTGTGTGCTTGTTTGGGTTTGATTTTGCTGGAAGAGAACTGGACAGCTAGCTCATTAATTATCATTAATATTTTCCCAGAGGTTATTTGACTGTCAACAGACAGTAAGAATGAGACCCAAAATAGGGGCCCAGATCCAAAAGCCTGATAGGGAAATACAGAGGAGCAGGAGAAGCAGCAGGACAAAAGATGTAAAGCAGAGAGACCTTTTGATAAAGATGATAGAAGAAGAAAGAAAGGCCTCTGGGCTGGGAATATCAAGAAGATGTTAAAGAGAAGCACCCCAAAGAGACACTGGCATTGTCCCCAATGTAGCCCTGGACAGGCCTCACAGAGTGCGGTGGCAGGTTTGCATCTCTGCCTATCCCACTGTTGGCCGCTGTCCACATCATGAAATGAAACGCAGTCTGCTTGCATAAAGATTTACAGCCTTGGAAACCTTATAGGGCAGTTGTACTCTGTCCTATAGGGTCACTGTGAGTCAGAATCCACTCAACAGCAACGAGTTAACCTCTGCCTAGCCAGTCCTGCATGATCTGGCCTCTGGCTCCCACCTCGGCTTCTTCCCACTCTTCACTTGGCTAGCACCTTCCCATCCTTTAAACCTCAGTACATGTCCTCAGAGAAGTCACCTTGTCACTTTCCTCATCACCCCCCCGTGCCATGTTTGCTTCTGTCACTGTGATCATGGTGGTTGTTGTTTTAAATCTGATATCCCCACTCGAATGTCAGCTCCATAAGGTGGGACCATATTTATCTTATCATCTGGTCTCTAACACAGTGCTGGGTACATATGAATGAAGGGTTTAGTTGATTGACATTGATGCTTGTACTCTTCTCTTCTAGGACACCAGAGACTTCTTAAACAGGTAAAAGAGCTTCCTTCCCACAGTGTGCATCATTCCCCTGTGCCTGTATCCCCTCCCCTTTTTCTTGACCGTGATCCATTTGAATTAATGGGGAATAACCGTGATGCCTATAGGAGCCCTGGTGGTGCAGTGGTTAAAGCACTTGACTGCGAACCAGAATGTTGGCAGTTCGAACCCACGAGCTGCTCTAAGGGAGAAAGATGTGGCAGCCTGCTTCCGTAAAGATTTACAGCCTTGGAAACTATGAGGCAGTTAGTTCTACCCTGTCCTATAGGGTCGCTATGAGTTGGAATCATCGCGATGGCACACAACAATAAGGAACAATATCTCTGGTAACCAGTTGTCCTTAAATGGACTCCGAATCATGGTGACCCCATGTGTGTCAGAGTAGAACTGTGCTCCATAGAGTTTTCAGTGGCTGATTTTCTGGAATTAGATTGCCAGACTTTTCTTCTGAGGCACCTTAACCATTTGCACCACCCGGGGACTCCATATTTATGGTGAATGTAAACAGAAGCTCTGACTAGACTCCAGGGAGTCCAAATGTGCTACGTCCACAAGAAAAGTTATTTGAGAGTTTTACAGAATTAAAAAAAAAGAAAAAACTAAATAAAATCATTACTAAGGTTTTCCTGCTCCTTGAAATTGCAATGCCTGTTGTATTCTTGGAGCCTTGGTGGTGCAGTGGTTAAGAGCTCTTCTGTTAACCAAAAGGTCAGCAGTTTGAATCCACCAGCCACTCCTTGGAACCCCTATGGAGCAGTTCTACTCTGTCTTGTAGGGTTGCTATGAGTCGGAATTGACTTGATGGTAGTGAGAATAGTGATGCCAGAGATACCCTCACCCCATGGTTCATCCTGATACCCTTCCCTCTTTTCTGATGGGAAGTAAAACCACATCTTTGAGAACTGAAGACTGGCTCTCCACCTGAGCAAGTTCCCACTGTCCTTGTTTGGGGTGGGACAGGGTGGAGAGGGTAGACACGTGGCCTAGTAGACAGAAGTGCTCTGGACATGGAGTCAGCTGATGATCATTAGTCCTGGCTCTGCTCCTTACCAGCCTCGGGCAGTTCACTTGGTGTCTCTGAGCCTGTTTTCCCCTCGATTGATTGGAGATGATCGTACCTTTCCCATCCCCTTCACACAGTTGTCATGAGGATTAAAAGAGGAAAGTATGACACTAAGTAACAGGTTGTTATGTCTGCCATCATATCAGGTATCCACGCAAGAAGTTCTGGATTGGGAAACCCATCGCCCGGGTAGTTAAAAAAAGAACTGGAGAATTCTCAGATAAACTTCTCTCTCTGCAGCGAGGCCTGAGAGAATTCCAAGGTGAGGGTTGAGGGGAGCACTGGGATGGAGTCGAGCTGGGGTACCACTTTGAGAGAGGTACCCTGACTCCTGACTGTTTTAGTCTCTGACCTCACTCTTCTGAGGTCTCCCAGCTATTTTCTCTTTTCTTCTTAGTGTCTCAGGGATTGAGCCCTGTTGAGAAATTAATACCCCCCGAGTAAGATGTGGGTCCGTACATTTGCTGGGCTTGAGAATCATTGCTCTCCCTTTTCTTTTTTTTCGTCTCTTCTCAGGGAAGCTACTGAGAGACCTGGAATACAAGACAGGTGAGTGTTCTAAGGGTTATTCCTAGATTTACCTCAAATGAAGGATACTCTCCCTACAGACATTCTGACTGCCACCCCCCAGCTGCCCCTGGGTAACCCCTTTTCTTATGCAACAGGGAGAGTTTCCCAGCTGCAAACCTGAATCTCTCCCTTTGCATTTTCTGACCAATCAGCTAGTCAGCAGTCTGTAGTAGAGGCCTCCACTTGATAGTCTGACCCCTTTCCTGCCCCACATTTAATTATTCTGTCTGCACAGATCTTACCCACCAGCCCTTTTCCCTGTGGCTGAGTGTCTTCTCAGCTGCCTGACCCTGTGGGTCCAGTATTCAGAGCAAACAGCAATGGCAACCTAAGGCCAGAGGCCATGTCTGTGCCAGTCCCTCAGCTATGTTCCTCAGCCTGGCCATTGGGTTGTGCACTGCATGCCTCTAGGGAAACCATTCATGTAGACCAAGATGTGATAGCACCCTATGCAGCCTGGTGGCGCCCTTCTGAACCACCACTGACACTGTTTTCTCTGCCCTTGTCCCCACAGTGAGTGTCACTCTGGACCCACAGTCGGCCAGTGGGTACCTTTTGCTGTCGGAGGACTGGAAGTGTGTGACTTACAGCAACCTGTACCGGAGTAACTACTTATACCCCCAGCAGTTTGACTGTGAACCTGGGGTGCTGGGCAGTAAAGGTTTCACCTGGGGCAAGGTCTACTGGGAAGTGGAAGTGGAGCGGGAGGGCTGGTCCGAGGAGGAAGAGGAGGGGGACGAGGAGGAAGAAGGGGAAGAGGAGGAGGAGGAAGAGGAGGCTGACTATGGGGATGGATATGACGAATGGGAAACAACGGATGAGGACGAGGAATCGTTGGGGGATGAGGAGGAAGAAGAGGAGGAAGAGGAAGAAGTTCTGGAAAGCTGCATGGTGGGGGTGGCCAGAGACACCGTGAAAAGGAAAGGTGACCTCTCCCTGCGGCCGGAGGATGGTGTGTGGGCGCTGCGCCTCTCCTCTGCGGGCATCTGGGCCAACACTAACCCTGAGGCTGAGCTCTTCCCAGCACTGCGGCCCCGGAGACTGGGCATCGCCCTGGATTATGAGGGGGGCACCGTGACTTTCACCAATGCAGAGTCGCAGGAACTCATCTACACCTTCACTGCCACCTTCACCCGGCGTCTGGTCCCCTTCCTGTGGCTCAAGTGGCCAGGAACGCGTCTCCTGCTGAGACCGTGAGCCATGACACCTGCCCCTGATCCCACAGCCACAGATGCTTCGATTCTAGGGAATTCCAGGACTCTCTGAACTTGGGGGACAGGGGTGGGGTGGGGAGGATGTGCCTGGCCAGAGCACCTGGAGCAGGGGAGAGGAGGGACCCATATCCACTGCCAACCCTCCCTGTCGCACCTTTGAGACAACACTCAGGGCTGTTGCTCCATCTGTGCTGCCTGCCTCTGGCTCTTCTTGCGCCTCCTGGTGGGGAACTTCCCACCCTGAAATTCATGAGATTTCCTTGTCCTTTCTCATCACTGCCTTTGACCAGCTCCGCGCTCTTTGTTGACTATGGGGCCAAGGCTGTGCGTTCTTGCCCAGGGTGACATCCCCTGCCAGCTGGCTTGGGGAGGACTAGTGATGGTTACATTTAAGGCTGTTTTGCTGTCCTCAAATCTCACAGGGTCCCCCATGCCCAAATCTACTCTGCTGCCTGCCTTCCCTGGCATTTGAAACAGACCTGTACCTGCCCCTGCCCCAACTCAGAGTTGAACCCACATGAAAGTGCTAAAAATGAGTTGAATGAAACTCTACTGAGGCGTCCCAGGCCATTTGGAGCACCAATGGAAATCAGCTCCTCCTGAGGTCCAGAGTGGGACCTGGACTTCTTGAGACCAGGGCTGAGCATACATGGGTTCTGTGACTAAGGAGGTGGCCCTTCCTGGAGCCATCTGTGTCTTAGGGGGAAGGAGCTGGGTACGTGTGGCATTGGGGTAACCATTGTGATCATTGCTTAATAGATTTTCTCTGTGGATTGTTCTCCTCTGTAGAGGGAAGTTTTGAAAAGGATCTTGAATCTCTTGACTCTTGATCAGTCCATCTGAATACACCAGTAGAGAAAAACCTTCCCTGTCTTGGAAGCTCACCACCTCTGATCCATTCCTCCAGTAGGATATTAAGCTTCTGTCCAGGTTTCATCTTCCTAGTAGACGGCCTGGTGATGGGAAGATGGAGCTGTGTAGGGAGAGGAAAGGAAGGCAGCAGGAGTCCACAACGAGCCCACCAGCACCTCACACCAAGAGAGATTAAGGTGACTCACTGCCCATAGGCCCAACCCAAGTCCTCGGCCTCCTAGGTCCAGGCTTCCCCTCGCCCTGCCACCCTCATGCCCACAATTCAACACACAGGCTCCTGCTCCAGCCAGACTGATCTCACGGTCTTCATCCTCACCCTTACCCATTCCAAGCTTTTCTGCTCTGCCAGTCCCCTGCTTATACAAGCTCTAACCCCTCCCCCTGCTCTAAGAGACTGTTTCCAGCAGCTGTGGATCTCTGAGCCATTGACTTGAAGTTGGCCACTTTGTATATACCACACGCTGCCTGAGTCACATGTACATCTAATTTCCACAGCTAGTTTTGTAAGCTCCTTGAGGGCAGATACCATATATTTCTCTTGTATTCTCCATGGCACCTAAAGCAGTGCTGGGCACAGAGTAGGTGCTCAATAAAATCTTGTTGAATGACCAGCCTGGATATATAGACTTTATTATAACTCAAATATCATTAGACCTTCCTAGTGTGTGGCTACAGAGAGGCTCTATTGATAGCTGTAGCCCAGAGCTTTTTTTTCCTTGTCTCCGCATCCTTTTGGTCTCTGGTTTTGCTTTCTGTCATCTGCCTACACACATGCTACCACTTCTGGAAGTCTCAAAGAAGAGCTTCCCTTGGGATCACAGACCAGCCACCACCATGGCTCTACCTTGTTCTTCTCCAGTGGTTCCCCTCAGCGGAGGCCCAGTATCTGTGGATTGTGATGGCGTGTCTGTGAGAAGGGTGACAGCCAGCGTGGCACAATCCAAGCCTTTCCCTGGAAAATAAGCAGTACCCTGAAGCTATCTATAGATATTCAATCTTGCCTTCTAACACATTCAACCATCTAACAGTTTCTTCTGATTTTTTAAAACTGTGGGTACAGTCATGTGTCACATAACGTCCGTTTGAACAGTCTCTGACTGCATATATGTCTGTCATCCTATAAGGTTATTAGAGTTCAGAATCCCAATCGGAGAATGGAACATTGCGGATGTAACCAGATGTAACGAGTGCAACAGTTTCTGCATGCAACACATGCATCTCATGTCTTGTATACAAAGCAATTGTGTTGCCAGGCATATAATGGTCCATTACATGTATAAGCTATAATACATATGACTTGATTGTTGTTGGATGCCGTCGGGTCAGTTACGAGTCATAGCGACCCCATGTACAACAGAACGAAACACTGCCTGGTCCTGTTGCATCCTCACAGTCATTGTTATACTTGAGTCCATTGTTGCAGCTACTGTGTCAGTCCATCTCGTTGAGGGTCTTCCTCTATTTTGTCCACCCTCTACCAAGCATGATGTCCTTCTCCAAGGACTGGTCCCTCCTGGTAACCCGTCCAAAGTATGTGAGATGAAGTCTCGCCATCCTTGCTTCTAATGAGCATTCTGACTGTACTTCTTCCAAGGCAGATTTGTTTGTTCTAGCAGTCCATCATATATTTAATATTCTTCACCAACACCATAATTCAAAGGCATCAATTCTTCAGACTTCCTTATTCGTTGTCCAGTTTTCACATGCATATGAAGCGATTGAAAACATCATGATTTGTGTCAGGTGCACTTTAGTCCTTAAAGTAACATCTTTGCTTTTTAAGAGGTCTTTTGCAGCAGATTTGCCCAATGAAATACGTCCTTTGATTCAATACAGATTGAATAATTATGGTAAAAGAATACAGCCCTGACACACAGCTTTCTTAACTTTAAACCCCACAGTATCCCCATGTTTTGTTCGAACAACTGCCTCTTGGTCTATGTACAGGTTCCTCATGAGCACAGTTAAGTGTTCTGGAATTCCCATTCTTTGCAATGTTATCCATAATTTGTTATGATCCACATAGTCAATAAAACACAGGTGATTATCTTTCTAGTATTCTCTGCTTTCAGCCAAGATCCATCTGACATCAGCAATGATATCCCTTGTTCCATGTCCTCTTCTGAATCTGGCTTGAATTTCTGACAGTTCCCTGTCAATGTATTGCTGCAACTGCTTTTGAATGATCTTCAGCAAAATTTTACTTGCGTGTGATATTAATGATATTGTTCAATAATTTCTGCATTCTGTTGAATCACCTTTCTTTGGAATGGGTACAAATATGGATCTCTTTCAGTCAGTTGGCCAGGTAGCTGTCTTCCAAATTTCTTGGCATAGATGAGTGAGCACTTCCAACTCTGCATCCGTTTGTTGAAACATGTCAGTTGGTATTCTGTCAATTCCTGGAGTCTTGTTTTTTGCCAATGCCTTCAGTGCAGCTTGGACTTCTTCCTCCAGTACCATCGGTTTTTGATCAAGTGCTTCTTCCTGAAATAGCTAAATGTCAACCAGTTCTTTTTGGTACAATGGCTGTGTATTTGTTCCATCTTTTTTTTTTTTTTTTGCTTTAATATTGTTGTTTAATATTTTCCCCGTAGAATCCTTCAATATTGCAACTCGAGGCTTGAATTTTTTCTTCAGTTCTTTCAGCTTGAGAAATACCGAGCGTATTCTTCCGTTTTGGTTTTCTATCTCCGGATGGTTTATGTCTTGATAGTCATAATAAATGCCTATGCTATGGCTTATGTATGTACTGTACTTTCTACCGTTATTTTAATGTGAACTTTCCTTACTTACAAATAAAAAGTTTACCATGTAACCATCTATGCTTCGACTCATAGGCAGCAGCATCAATCTTGTGTATTGTGGGTCTCTTGAGTGTTGTAGCATTACCTCTGTGTTTAATTTAACCCATATATTACCTTGCCAGATACATTAGCTGAAATACAATACTATATGTGTACAGTATCTTGGCTATTTAGTCAATACAGGTACACTACAGTATCCTGTATGCTTTGCTAAGTATACAATATTGTGTTCACACAACATCCAGTCATGTAACATCCTACTTCACAGAAGGTATCATGAATTTTAAGTGACACATGACTGTATTTTAATTGCTATCTTACAGATGGGAAATACCTCTTGAGGTACAGTAGTGGCAATGAGCATATTTCCTCCCTATACTTTCATTTGTGGACTCATTTAAGTTTTCCCTTTTTATTTTTTATCTTTTTTTTTTTTTTAGTTGTTGGTTTTTATGAGCACATACGGTCAAATATTTTTATAATGTATTACTAAAGAAAAATGAACAATTCTTTGCCCCCTTCTCCCATTCCTGTTTCCTGAGGCCTGTTTCACCCTTTTAGTAGACTATTTTGGTGTTTACCCCCATTTTCCTTGATAGCATGAATGTGTTGCCTCTTGAGGGCGGAGCAATATCCTCTGACTTCCCACTGTGGAGGAAATGTTCTCTCCTGGCCCTCACCACGTACACTGATCCACACATTTTCTTTCTGTCCATCCCCATCCTTTCACTGTGGTCTTAATGTCGGTTAGATAAGTATTCAGTATATTCATTACTATATTTATGTAAAAAGTTACTTACAGCTGGGCCATGTGGTAAATTATGATTACTTTTCTTTCCTGCACAACTTTTTGTCTTCACTGGAGTTAATAATTGTCTTGATTTTTCTTTTGCTTCATTTCCTACATCCTTATTACTAATTGAACCCCAAACTCTTCAACGGTTGTTAAGATCTTGAGATGTTCAGTCATCAAGTACCCTGTCAATGTTGTCTGTCCTGGAGCCCCTGACCTCCTTACCTGTGACCTCCAGTCTGGATAGTTGCTTCCTCATCTCACCTGTGCACAGCTTCGGATCTTCCTTTACCATTATAGTGGGAATTCTGAATTGGTTCTCATATTCTTCCTATGTTTTCCACTTCTTAATTTACTTCTTCATTTTGGTGAAATACATCCTCCAGTAGCTTCCTGAAATATGATGCAGTGAAGGTGAATTTTTTGAAATCTTGAATATCTGGAAACGTCCTTATTCTACCTTCATACTTGATAGATTCACTAGGTGTAGAATTCTTGGTTGGAAATAAGTTTCCTTCAAAATTGCAAAGACATTCTCTCCACTGCCTTCTTGTGTCCATTGTTGCTGCTGAGAATTCTCT